CAATCAGCGCAAGCGGGCGCTGATGTCTTTCGAAAGATACGATGTCAAAAGGGATGAATGGACCCTGATGGATGTGCCGATGACGAAGGAATTGAAAGCGGATCTGGCGGGCGGTGATTATGCGCAGAAGACCTTCTGTCTGCCGCTGCAGCATCGCCTTTCGCCGGAGTGTTTGGTTAGCGACATTGTAGGATATTATGAAGAACATCAAAGTGGTGATGATTCTGGAACCGATGAGAATAACTCTGGTACAGATGAAGACGACACTGATAATGCCGAATAGCCAGCTGGCATGCGTGACTGATACGCTTAGTTGTGTATTATTATTGCGTTTGGTGTTTTCGGTCAGTTGTCACTGTCAGTACAACGCAGCTGTTCTTTTAAACATTTTTTGCACTGTTTTGCGCATTCCTTTCTGTATTTCTTGCACACTGATCATATTTTGCGGAGGAAATAAAGTTTAATTTTTGATGAAGAAACTAATTTATTTCAGTTTAAAATGATGTATCCCAAAAACGACGAACGTGAACAGTTTTGAGCTAAGACAAGACGAAGCCGAAATCAGTCTGTCAGGGTTTGGTTTAGTGATGTGCTACTACAGCTTCATGCTACCTTACTTACTATTTACTAATCTTCCAAAACTTTTACTTACTATTAACCCAAAAATTTTTGAAATACTTACTATTACTTACTATTCACATTTTTCCCAACCAATTACTTACTAATTATACTAAATAAATTTAATTTAATTATTAATTTAATGTTATTATCATTTTTGGGAAGCTTGTGCATTTCATGAAGGAATCAAAATATACATTACTGTATTTTATGCGAATCTATGGTGTAAAGGCAGAATCTAACAGAACAACTATGCTGCACAGTCTGCTTGCCAGGCTGCTGCTGCATTGCAGTGTTTCAAATCCTATAATTATAAGTACTTTACGTAACCGCAGTTTCGGGTCGGCGGTACATTGCGTTTACGTGAGCAGCATACCACCGTCTGTTAAGGCACCAACTTTAGGCTATGCATCACCGTTAATGATGAACCTCCCCTTGTACAGCAATGAGTCTTCTGGTTATTCGAAAAAATTCGATTAGTAAATGAATTAGTAAATAACTTTTTTTAGCGAAAGCCAAATCTTACTATTTACTTACTATTTACTATTGTAGCTGAATATTTACTTACTTTTACTAATCTTGCCTGTAAAACTTTACTGTTTACTACACATTTAATTTTAGGGAAGCTTTTACTAATTAAATAGCATTTATCTAGTTTTATTTAGTAGCACATCACTAGACTTTGGTTCCTCTTGGCAGTTTGGCTTGACTAGGAGTCTGGAGAGCTCTTAATAAGTTTACAGTTATGGGACACAAATATAAATATGCAAACCAAGAAAAGCACTTTTGTTCACGTCACTGGCAAATCTCAACCAACCAGTAAACCGTTGCCTATTTCCGCTGCGTAATTTACGCGCGCTTTCCAGCTTTGTGCACCGTTTTGATAACTGCATATCGGAATTCTTCCCGCACTGAACGTAGCTGCCTTCAAGAACGGTCACAGTACTAATAAAAAACTCAAACAAATAAATGCTAGCGCATGGGCTGTTCTCATTATTTTCTAAACTAAACCACTTTAAATTCAACTGTATCATCATGCCGCGCGTTAACCACCGTGAACTGGCCATAAGATTGACGGAGCGGACGGTGCTGCATGACTGCTTACGTCAAATTCTTGATAACCGGTTTCGTGCCACCGACGATACCGAGTCCAGTTCCGGAGAAGACAAAGAAGAAGAAACGGGATGCATTTTTAACAGCTACCTGGATGATCTGACTTCCCCTTTGATATTACGGCTTTATCTGGATTACATAAGATACACCTTTCGGCTGCGTGTTCCAAAATCCCACAGCTTTTTTGACAACCTGTTATTTTATCTGGACGACTCCCGATTTAAGCAGGAGATGCGATTGACACGTGCCACGTTTGACGCCGTTCTGGACCGGATAAGCACCCATCGGATTTTTGTTAACAATTCTCGCTATAGCCAGACATCAGTTGAAAAACAGCTAGCGACCGCTTTGTGCCGTCTGGGATCAACTGGTAATGCTGTTTCTCTTGGTTGTGTGGCCAGAAAGTTCGGGATATCGGAGGGAACCGTCGAACTGTTCACTGGTAGAGTGATGGTATCACTGCTCTCGCTGGAGAAGGATATCGTGCGGTGGCCAACCGAGGAAGAGAAACGGGTAACGAAGCAACGTATTAAAGCGAAACATCATTTTCCTAGCTGTGTGGGCTATGTGGATGGGACGGATATCGTGTTAGCATACAAGCCAGCTGTTCACGGGGAGGATTATTTTAGCCGGAAGAAAGTTTATTCGCTGTCTGCCATGGTTGTTTGCGATTACGACAGGCGAATCCTTTACACTTGCTGTGGTTTTACTGGCTCCGCTCATGACAGTCGCGTGTATAAAAGTACTGATCTTTACCGCAACCCAGGGAAATATTTTGAAAACGATGAATACCTTCTTGGAGACAGCGCGTATACCTGCACAACTTCCGTGATCACGCCGTACCGGAAAAGTGAAAAAACTAACAACCGAGATAATCGTCGCTTCAGTAAATTACATTCGGGCGCAAGAGTGGGCATTGAACATACCATTGGTATGACAAAAAATCGCTTTCAAGCGTTAAAAGGACTGCGCGTTTTAATTAAATCTAAGAAAGACCATACACGTGCAGTATACTGGTTTCGAATTTGTGCCATTTTACATAATATTTGTATCGAATGTAAAGACCCGTATGAAGACGAATGGGGTGAATTGCCAGACCACGCCACAAACGCCGACAACGATGCTGCTGATCCCATCGATGCCAACGAAGCAGGACCACAAAAAAGAGAGCGGATTAAGTGCGCTGTATTAACCAGCTTACTTGAGTGATCTACTGTTTTTCTGCTTGTTATAAATTTCGGGTCGCATTATTAAATTTATTTAAAATTATTCGTCCACTGTTTCATCCACTAAAATTTTATATTAAAATTAACAGTAGTTTGACGGCAGTCCGCTATCATAATCATAACTCCTTTTTTATGACACATTGCAAGTGCTAGTACGCGCATTTCACATAATCATTAGTTGATATCTAAGCCCAGCTCTCTCATTTTTATACGTAATTCCATGCGACGGTTTTCTGCTTCAAGCCGGTGAGTTTCGGCTTCCGCTTTGCGAATTTCTCTGTCCTCAGCTTCCGCGGCTAATTGTTGCCTTTGAAGATTAAGGCGCTCTTTTTCCAGTTCATTTTTGGTGGCCGTACGCTCGCGTTGCAGTTCCAAGTCTTTCGCATGACATTCTGCGCGGCTTTTTTCCAGTGTAATAAGCGTCTGGGAAAACGAAAGTGAGCTTTTTGTCGGTGCTGGAATTTTCTCCTTCGTCGGTTTAGTCAGTCTACGATTTAACACCGCCACGTATTTTGCTGCTGTATCGGTATCAGACTCTGAGCTGTCCACATCGCCATCTAGTCTCTTATCCCGATAGCTCCTCGTATCCAGATCGGCCGATTCAGCGTAGACCGGAGCATTATCAGCACTTGGCGTTGGGACGTTGGCTTCATCGGATCCAGGAGACACTTGATCGCCTATCTGAGCTTCATATGGTGCATTAGTCAAGCACAAGATCACTTCCGGATCATCTTCATTCTGGCCAGTTTCACTGACACTCGGCGGTTCGATCCCTGGTCTGTCGCTGAACGTCGCATCCAGTTCAAAAAAATATTTGAACCGCTTGACCACCTCCTCTGCAATCATCGACTCACGTAGAAATAATATAAGTCGTATCAAAGTATAAGAACTCGCGAAAATGGAATTGTAAAAACGATCACGGCTGACAAATAAAAAGATACATGAGTAGTTATGATATCATATTCTTGTATAAAAATTTAAATACGTGTTTAGTTTCCTGTACCTTGCACTGTGGGCAACTTGAGATTTCCCGCTCTGTCTAGAGTGGGATCGAGGATTCCTTCACCTGTTCCTTTCAGCCAGGCGTTCACCTTTTTGTACTGGTCTTCCCATTTGGCTACCTTCTGCGTGATGGCCTTGGGATCCAGTGCCTGGGTCTTGCACTGAACGGCGATGTGCTGAGCAATTATGCGGGCCACGGCTGTGCGCTTCTCTCCATTGCTTTTAACACCAATCCCTACTTCATGTTGTTTACCAGATGATTTCCATCTGCCGAAGTTAGACTCTTCTGCCATCCATTCGACCAAAACTTGCTCTTCATTCTTCGACCATTGCCTGTATTTTCTTGATGTCGGGACTGCAGTCACAGTAGAAACAGGCGCCGTTGATGAACGAGATACGATGGCAGAGGAAACGGGTCCGCCAGCCCTGTTCACGGTTTTCTGTTTCTTAGGTAGAGGCTCCAGTGCTGCTGGCGAAGGTGGATTCGGAGACGAAGAGCAAGACATGATCGGTCCAAAAACATTACAGGCTACTAGCCTACTGCTATGGAGTGTTTGCAATTACAAGTGGAAATAAAACAGCACTAAGGTGACAGAAACAAGAGGGAGAACCTGCTGAAAAACGATACAGAACGTTCGGTTTGTTACGTTATGAATTGGTCACTTATTTAGACTGCCATTTCAAAAACTACTCCGGAGTAGTTTTTTTATTTTGCTTATTCTGGGCGGGATATGCAAGTTCTGCATATCTGCGTCACGCAATATGGACCAACTGCCGTAAAGGGGAGGTCGTTGTGACGTGAACAAAAGTGCTTATCTGGGTTTGCATATTTATATTTGTGTCCCATAAGTATTACTGTGAAAATAAGTGGCAAATCTGTAAGAAACAAGACCTGGGTGGCCGCCTTCTACTGGCGGTTGCCGCTGCAACCGTACTGCTTGTTTGTCACCAATGTGCTTCCGCCACGGTGTGCGGCTTACTCGTACATAGTCAACAAACTTTGCACATCTTTGAGTTGTAGGTGGTTTTGCATCAAAACTTTTGTCAAGCTTGATCGAAGAACAGAAACAAGTTTTGCAGAAACTGGAAAACGCACGTTTTCTGTATTAAATAATTTCAGTTAACTGCGATTCCTACCAGGAGAATTCGATCGTCGTGTCTGTCATGTGGCGTGCAGTCTACCTCCCCAACAGTGTGGACATCTTGGGCGACGACGGCCTGCTGCGCTACGGACGCGTAGTGGACGTCGCTGACAACGGACTGTTCATCGATTTTCTCTGCCCTAATCGACGACGGGAACTCACTGCTTTCGGTAGCATCTACCTTCCCACTGCTTCGGAACCTCTGCCGACGCGCGGAACCAACCCGCTCCATGCCTTTGCAAAAGCATCGATCCCCGTGGAAGTGTTGGTACGGGAATCTCTCTGCGGTCCCTGGATGTGGGTCCCGGGTGAAATGAACAGTCTAATACCCCACGAAGCACCAAGTTCGTACGGTCTGGCAGTGGTCCACTGGTGGAACAAGATAGAGCTTCAGGATATTGTTCCCGTGGAGCGTATTCGCTGGAGGTTCCCGAGCCCCAGGGGATGGTGGGGCGCTGTGGGCCGTCCTGTTCCGCCACAGTTTGCAGCCCGTCTGATCGAGCATTTTGAGGGTTATGTTGAGGGCGTCGTATTCAAGCAGCCCGTGGCCGTGGCCAAAGGAGAGTTCGCCAAGTTTAGTGTTTCGTTACCTAAACGACAAAAGTGTTTCGTTGTCGGTAACATCGACGTTGAACGTTTGAATATGGAACTGTTGTTACGGGATGAACCTTTCTGCTGTGTGGGCATCACCGATGGACGTATATGGTGTATTGGACGTCGACATACGCTGGCCGAGAATACCCAAAAATGCTATTCAAAATTTCAGGTAAAGCGGACCCAAAGTTTTACTAATTGTCACTCTGTATCCCAGGTTAGCATTTTTTGCTATGAAAATTGTTCTGCTCCAGGAGTCCAGGTGTTGCACACTGGGCTGCAGTTTCGGTATTTTACGATACTCCTTAATTTCATTGAAACCGTTCTTGTCATTGCTTAAGAAACATATAGACAAAATTGTTTTTTGTTTTGGAAAATAGAAAAATTTGTGAGTAAAAGTGTAAAACGATTGGAAAAAGAGCAATAATTTGGCGATTAAGATTTAGTAGTTAAAATGCATTAGCCCAAGCATGCAAATCTACGGCGACTGCCCCATAAAGCAGCCTGCTGATGCTCAACTCAAATAGCGTAACGCGTTAGGAATATCTCCTTTATCCGCAAACCTTTTTACTTGCAAACTTTGGATTTTCCATAACAAACATTTTTCTGCATTTGTGTAGCGAACACAAGCATTTTTGCGTTATAATACAAACGAATTAGAGCCTTTAATAAAATTTTGAGCCAGAGGGGTTGCCCATTACGCACCATCACACACATGCATGGCACATTTCTTTTTTTCATAGCAGAAAAGCTGTACTGGCATATCGACAGTCATTTTTTAATCCATGATTTGTTCAGCGTTTCCAGGACTTTGTGCTGGTGCTGGATTTACTGCCCCTGTACCCTAACACAAGAAAACTGATTGCGCTCACACCTAACGACGGTCCAGTGGACGAATTTCGAGCTGTACCGGTGGAATTATGGCGAGAGGTGTTTTCCCATCTGGACACGTGCGAACAGAACCGACTCCGCGCGGTCTGTTGTATATGGAATGGCATCGTGGATTTGCCTGCTTTGACTGATTGCCTTATAGCTGGGACGGATGGCAGCGGTAGGGTTGACTCGCTAACAGTTGTGGACCGCTTAAAATGATTTGAAATGAAATGCAATGAAACGGGTCATTACTGATGTACTTCTATCGTTACTTTCAACAGCTATTATAGTAGTTTATACTGAACGGTATTTTTATCAAATTAAATGCCGATTTGATCGATTTGATCAATTTTTCTTTCTAAAATTGTTTTTAATAATATATGAATTTCTAAAACTTTTTTCTAGAATATCTTAATATACTCTATATATTTTTTGAATAATATATTATTAAGAAAATATTTTGTTCTACATTCCTTATTTCAAAGCATTTCTGACGCTCAAAACCCGGTTTGATTTAAAGATTAAAATGCTTAAAAAACGTCATTAAATTATGATTTCAGTCAAAGGCAGCGGAACATCCAATTTCTCCTGCATTCTTCGCTGCATGATGTCGACGGTCTTCCACTGTCTTCGCCCATCAACCAAACACATTATCCTGACCGATCGCCAGCGAATACTGGAAATGAAAGACTTCTTGAAAGTGCTGCATGTGATCATTTACGTTGGCCAGCGTAATCCCGGCATCCGGTTGTCAGCGATCTACCTGAGGAAACTGCGATGTGCTTTGTCATTCGGGAAGATGGATTTCACCGGCAATTGCAGTGTGCATCATCCTGACCCAGCGGCACCAAGCATCCTAGATGGCGACTGGGGGGAAATCCTTCTCGATGATTTCATTGGGACGTGCGGCGCACTTCCGTGCGACAGCCTCCACCTGATCCGCTGTCGTGTTCCGCTGTCCATCCGGAGCTACAAGAAATCCGCCAAAATCGCCAGATACACGTATATTCCGCTGACTCTGACCCTATCGCAGGTTTTCGTGAATACCCAACTGAAGTTGGATGGAAATTTTGAATGTGCCGTGTGGGATGCCCTGGACGGGAATTTACCGGTTCTGGACGGGGATAAGTTGGAGAAACTGTCTGAAGAGTTGGCGACCATCGCGAATAATCTGGATATTCAAAGCACCAAAGCGCGTCGGGTACGTTTGAAATGTTAGTCATCTTTTTGTTTCTAGATGTTAACCTGTCTGATTGAATCTGCTGTAAATTGAAAATCCATATCTCTTCAACCAATTCGGAAGCATTAGATGCCCGGGCTACGTCGTTTGCTTTGGAAGGAAGTCAAGGAACAACCGTCGTTGTAGTTTTCAGTTGGAACCTGTACAGGCTTGTCCCATAATTTCTGTCGCATTAACTCAGCGGTAATTGCAAAAACAAAAATTCACGGTTTACACCGAACATACACGACGGGGCGCCCCGCCCCGCTACTTGCGTCCTAGGCGCACTTAGGCATGGCCATGCCTGATGCATGCCTAATATCGATCTAAATTTTCCGAAACCTTGCGCCAAAAACCTTCTATCTGTACCTACAAAAATTCGATAAAAATTACGGGACACGCATAGGGATGTTTAAATAAACGTGGTAAAGTTGGTATGTCTTGATGAAGCGCTCAGTAATAATATGTACAGAGTACCTGTTATAGTACTGGTACCGTGTTTGCAGATTTTATGTGCGACAACGCCAACTGACCCACGTCCATCGTCGCTTTACCGAGGAGAAATGTGGTGCACAAACGGCTTAATGCATCTACAACTGAAGAACCTCTCCCGTATTACGCAGCATTTTCTCCTTCAGTTCATGGAATCTGTGGCTCCGCTACCTTGGCACGACGATTATTCGGCGTAGCGTATCAAGAGTTCAATAGAAGAAAATTTTAGTTTCAGCAGATTTGTGGTGTTGGTTTGGTCGCAGTGTTTTAAATTTTTTCGCATAAAGTATTATTATACCGGTGTGATCTGATCAGGCTGCGCACGTGAACGTAGTAGCTATGCTTTAAGACAGTTCAATTTTTCCATTTTGCATCACAACGAAATCTTGACAAAATAACTGATCTTCTGAATAATTTTATCTTATCAATCCAAACGAACTGAATAATAATTAACAGCTGATAATCCATACCCTTTTAAAAACAACAAGCGAGATCCCGGTACGATAAGCCGCTACAAAAATGGCAACATTCAAAACTGTACTCGTACAGTACATCACCAAGATTTTGATCCATGCTTATATAGAAACTGGGTTTTCAAAGCAGATGTTTTACTGCGCTTGCTCGGCTTTCAAATGAACGAAAATCCGCCGGTAAATAACACTTTATTATAGTATGTGTCTGTATTAGCGAATTCCGTTTCACTGGAGTGGTGACCTATCATGTTGACAACTATTATGTCCATGCTGTAAATCGACATTTATTCCCAGACACGAAACAGATCGCCATCTTGTGTAGTCTATGAAATTCAGATCGGTTTTCGGCCAAAGGTCTGGTTCTCGAAAAATCAAATACTGACAGAACAAAAGACTCCATAGATTCGCTCAAAAACACGGTTCTATTTGCTTTCATAAAAAAACATCGGACAATCCTAAAGATAAAGTGCTCAACATAGAAGGCTCTAACGAACCGAAGACTTCATAAAGTGCACGAGGAAATGCAGCGCAATACGCGACAATTTCTTTACCAGTAAATCCGTCAAACCGTTTACGCACCACTCCTTCCCACGGTAATTCAACCATGGGCGTGGGTCCGCTGTTTGAGTCGCACACAGTACCTGCAACAAAAGCGAACGGCTGGGTTGGTCTGTATAGAGTATAGAGCTAAGTATATATTGTACATTCACCGACCCGCATTACACAAACTTTAAGAACTGTACAAATTTAAGCAGATTCTCGTCCTGAAAGTTCCACGATTGTGAGCAATTTGTCACTTACTCGAGATGCTGCAGTGATATCCATGGTCATGTTGACAGCTGGAGCCTTCAGCCAGGTGGACAGCGTTTCCAGCTGATCCACATCCAGCTCAGGTAAACTCATCTCCAGAGCATTCCACAACGAACATTCGAAGTCATCCCCGGTCATCAGCCGGGCACTGCTGATATTAACTGTGATCTCCGGGTGAAAGCGCTGCGTAGCCAGAATCCCCGAGCCAAGAATGAGAATACAGCGGCTTAATCGCAAGGTATTACATGGAAGACCGCGACAAGTTTCGATGAAATCCTGCAGCCGGCGGGTGCCTTTTTTCCACCACGAAAACCAATCGCCCTCTGTCGGCGCATGAGGAGTGTGCAGACAACACGCATCGTTGTGAAGACGTTCTACGCTGCAGCCTAGAACCAGCGGGCACTGAAAACCCACCAAATAGACGGCTGACAAGCGTATTTTGACGTTGTCTTTTCCAACGTAGTTGATTATATCGACCACTTTCAATTGATCCTCCGTGTCCATCACTCGCGCTCGATCCACCACGACGATGTGTTTCGATGAGACGCGCACACATCTGACGATGGTCGATACCATACAGTACATAAGTCGGTCCCAGTTCTTCAAACTAGCCATAGCGTTGCTCCCTACTGATATAATAATGGTGGCCATTAAAGCTGGTGCATCCACACTGCGATTCCATAATGAGCAGACCAGACGCAGCCGGTTCTGTGTCAGAGTGTCCAGATGAGCAAACACATTCAACCACAATTCGACCGGCAGACGACCGCGGTGAGTCGGTGCCCTCGGCCCGGGGACATTGGGTAAACATCCTGGTGCTGCACACAATATCTGGGAGACCGTCCACTGCAAATACAATAAATATGTTAAATAAACAGGAATTTGAACAATCTAGAGTTTAGCAAGGTGGTTTCTTAATTACACGCCAATCGGTCCAATTCTCAGAATTCTGTGCTGTACGTTGACCAGAGGACTGGCGCTTAATACACCACACAATTCCATCCACAATCTCCACAAGTGAGAAACTCGGACGCCATTTTCCGTGGATCAGTTCACGGTTCAGCTGCTGGAGCAATGTTGCGGCATTGAAGAGCCGAAATCGCTCCGGCAACGCCATACTGCATTTCTCGAATGTCCACCGGGTTACGACCACGGGCAGACTGTACAAGGGCCAGCGAAGGTTATGATGGGCGCTTGTAGTGCCAGCCGACAAGAACCGTTGTGGTACTCCCCGACCCACTGCGGCCCACCAGCCGCCCGGGCCCGGGATCCTCCAGCGCAGGCGTTCCACGCGGACAAAATCCCGACCTTCTGTTATATTCCACCAACGAACGAGAGCCATACCGTACCGACGACCGTGTACTTTGTAACGCGGCAGAGCAATAATTTCCGCCGGGACCCACATCCACGGACCGCAGGGGGGCTCCCGCATCAGTAACTCCACAGGGATTAAGAAATCAGCACCAAAATATAGCAGGATATCATGAACAGGCAGATGCTGCGTAGCAGTGGGAAGGTACACACTGCCAAATGGAATAAATTCACATCGTCGATTGGGACAGAGGAAGTCGATCAAGAGCCCGGTGTCGGTCAAGTCGACTACCCGTCCATGACGGAGCAGACCGTCATCGCCCAAAATATCAACGCTGTTGGCTTGGTAGATACTCCACATGGCTGATAAAGCCGGCAATTTCCACGAGAAAATAAATATTTTATAGATATGGCAGTGTTACACAAGGGATCAGTTTGGCAGCTGAAACCGATAAAGAGAAAATTCAGTCGAGTTGGCAATTCAACTGCAGCAGTACTTTTATCCGTAAAACAAAACGATCCTCGCTGTTCAACAGACTGTAGACACAGTATCAGCGAAAGAAAACTGCCTTCGCTAGAGTAGAATCTACCTAGAAATATCTTATGTAACAGTACGGACGGTGTCTTAGGTAAAAGTCGTAAGACTCGTATGTAAGACTAAGGTGACACTGCACTCTGCTCATCATCTACCGGTTATACCTATAACCACGCAACCGGCTTTTAAAACAAAATCGAATTATGTGTAAAATTACATTGAAGTCCACTCTGCAGTATTACCAGCAGCTGCGCTGCATAGCAGCTGTGCATAGCGGATTGGATTCAGAGGGACGCAGGAATCCGGGTATTACGACACTCGACACGCTCCCTTTCTAGTGGTTTCTGTATTACAGTTATGCGCCTGTGTGTGAATTAGTATAAATTGGGAAATGTTAAACGCTAACATCTGCCACTTGCTGCGTAAGAAGTTTTTTCTGTTTTTGTTGTCTTTGTGATGGCTTGGGGCCGTTTCCGGCCATGTTTGGCATAACTGCCCAAAGGAAGTAAATTTCAAGCCCACCTTTGGTGTTCTCGCGGGGCGTGTAGGAGCGATAGGATACTGTTCCTATCTGTAACGTACATATACTGTGTATACATGTTGGCTGTACCCTACGCTTTCAATTTTATGGCATAGTTTAGTAACATTGTTTCATTGCGACCATAATTATTACGACTCGTACATCTGGAAACTGGAATCTACCTAAGTTACGTTGAGCATGTCGGGAATGGACATGCCGCTTTTTATGTCACTTAATACTTTTTCGACTGCTAATTATAATTAAACTAGCTAAACTTTCTATGACATGCACGCATACATGTGTAAATAGTAAATAACTAAAGGTCACTTCTATACGCCAGGAAATCTCCTGGCGCATAGCACTTTTGATAAATAAATAAGTAGTGTTGCAAATAATAAAAAGTGTAAATAGTAGTAAATAGTGGACAATACATGTGTAAATAGTGTTGAACGAAAAGCGTCAAGAAAAGCGCGGAAGCTTCAGCGTTTCTGGGTAATCCAGTTTCCGAACGATTACCCACTCAGCCAACGTTTCCGCGACAAACCGAACAATAATAGTCCCCAAAAGCTATAGTTATTCCGGCAATCGCATGTTGGACGTAAACGTATACCTTGCGTGTGCCGGGTCGTTTCGTAATGCTGTCTTTAGCCAAATTACCAGTAGCGAGTTTTGACAGTACGCGCTCGAAGTGCGCTCGTTGTACTACGCAGATTTTTTTAATAATTGCAGTTACAACAGTTTAATATTTTATGCACTCAACAAAAGTGGAAACAAGTAATGCCGATTGGTTAACTTCGGAAACGCAATAGGTCAAGCACACACAATTGTCAATAAGATAAAGGTCAGACCGTCTCGTGGTCAGCAGCGAACGAAAAAAAAACCCTGTTCCAAAATAATTACGGACATCTCCACACACAAACTTGAAGCAAATAACGTCAACCACAGCTGGAACCTGAGGATGATGAAAGGCTGCAAGTATCCAAGGACTCTCTGAACTGCTTGAGAAAATGCAGCGCAATACGGGACAACTTTTCTAGCTGCACATCTTGCAGTCCATCCATGCACCACGCTTTGCCGCGGTAATTCAACCACGGACGCGGATCCGCTGTATGAGCCGCACATAATACCTGCAAGGTGTGCAAAGAGCTGACATAACTCGTCTTTACCGGCGGCGGAACAAATCCGCGTTGCATAACAACTGAAATATCGAAATACGCGCACATTCGTTACGGAATTTCCCGAATCGGATGTGCATACGATGCGAAACTGTATGCGATTTACCCAACATGCAGTGTTGATTGTGTCGTTCGAGTTGTCCACTAGAGTCATCAACCAGTTGGACAGCCTGGCCAGCTCAAGTTCGTCCAGCTCGGATAAACGCGCCTCAATCGCGTTCCACAGCGAACCTTCAAAATCATTCCTTGTCGTCAGTTGAGCCAGACCGAAATCAACCGTAATCTCCGGGTGAAAGAATGACCTGCCCCGTTTGGCCAGAACACCAGAGTCGAGATGGAGGGTACACGAGCTTAACCACACGGTATTACACGGAAGACCGCGACATGCTACGATGAAATCGTGCAGCGTGCTAGAAGAAGCGTCTTCCGTCGGCGCAGATGGCATATGCAGAGAGCACGCGATGTTTCCAGTGTTTCTATGGCTGCAGCTAAGCGCCAGGCTGAATTTGAAGTCTACCAAGCAAACCGTCGACAATCGAATTCCGGCATGGCTTTTTTCTAAATAATCGATGACATCGGCCAGTTGCAAGAAATCTTCCGTCTTCAATATGCGTTGTCGGTCCTCCACGACGAGGTGTTGCGTTAAGGGGCGTACACACTTGACGATGGTCAATAAGGCGCAGCGCATAAGCTGGTCGTGCTCCTTCCACGACCATTCTGCGCTATCGTCGACCATCCAATCGCTACCGATAATGATCGTGGCCATGAGCGCTGACGAATCGACCAATTGGTTCCATGTCGAGCATACCACGCGGACTTGGTTCTACGTTATAGTGTCCAGATGGGAAAACACCTCCAGCCACAATTCTACTGGCAGCATAAATGTATTATCCGGCAGACAAGGTGAACTCGGCGTGAGAATAACCGTCACACATCCCAATAGTGCAGACAGAAGCTGGTAAACAGTCCACTGCAAAGACAACAGCAGTACTTATCAGTGGAAAGACTAACAGTTTTATCAGGAGTATGAACACTGTTGGTGGCAAAAAGGGACACTGATCCATTCCGAAAGAGACCGACTCGTTAAAGTCGCGAAAAGCTACTCTAAATAAGATAATGCAGATTGCAGCCGCAGAATAGTCAGCATGGTGCAATAGTTGCTTTGATTTGATATGTTTGAATCACTATCCTGCTGCCAGGCAACATTTACCCCAAGATTCATTGACTGAGGACATATGGATGATCGACAGCTTTTTGAATGATAACCTGCTTACGACATTACTTTTTATGTAACACACAGAACTTCCCAAAATAGACTAAGAAAATAACCACTAAGAAAGATCGTGTTGGAAACCGAAAAACCTGTCATACTGCTAATAAGGTTTCGGTCGTCGAGATGGCTTCGGCAAAGCGTCGGCCAACGAATTCACAGAAAGCGAAATGTCGATCATGCATGGGCAGCATGGCGAATTGCCATGCCACCGGTTTCGGGGTTTCGGTATCGTGATACAGCGGGTACAACCATTACAGCGTACACGCCCACTGTCGCCTGATGGCTAACTGTTTTTGCCCTGGTGGTAAAGCTATCGTGAGTACAGTGCAACTGAGTGCATGCTCAATGGCCCAAACAAGAATTCCTGACTTACACGCCAATCGGTCCGGTTCTGGCTTGTAACTTTGATGCCACTGTTTGAGGACATACGCTGAATACACCACACATGACGATCCGTGATCTCCACAAAGACAAGACTTAGTCGCTGCCTCTTGCTCATCAGACTGCATGTCAACTGGCCCAGCAGTTCTTCAGCAGGAAACCTTCGAAACCGCTCCGGCAGGGCTACACAGCGTCTCTCAAATATCGATGGGGTCACGACCACCGGTACATAACGAACTCCATCTTGACCAGTATTATGGGGCTGTGCGGAACCGCAAGGTAAAAACTGCTGCGGAACTTCCCGCCCTGCACCTGCCCACCAGCCACCCAAACGAATGCGCTCTACGCGGACAACATCCCGGTATTCCGCAGTATTCCACCAATGGACAAGGGCCACACCGTATCGACTGCAATGATGCACTTCGAGACGCGGCAGCGCGGCAATTTCAGCGGGAATCCACATCCACGGACCGGAAGGAGATTCCCGTATCAGCACCTCGACATGTTTCAGCCGATTTTCATCAAAAACATTTATATGCGTATAAGCATGGGGGAGGTAGATACTGCCAAAGGGAACGAGTTCACGTCGTCGGTTAGGACATAGGAAGTCGACGAAAAGCCCGTTGTCGGCCACGTCAACTACTCGTCCATGGCGAAGCAGGCCGTCATCGCCTAAGATATCTACGCTGTTGGCTTGGTAGATTCCACTCCACATTGCTGTTGAGATCGTCGAGTTTCACTGAAGAAACATCTTTTTAAGCCAATATGAAGGAGTCAATAACGATTCTGACGGTTTAAATCATTGTAGCTTTGCTGGAATGAATACTCGTCGTTAAAGTACAGCAAACCAACCAACAATAAGGAATAAAATTTGAATACTTAACACTAATAACTTGGCTTAGTCTGCAGTAACGATACAAAATAACAAAGTAAATTAGTGTGGCCTGCTTTGTCTGTGTGTGGTTAATGTCAAGCACGATTTACTAGCTAGCACACCAGGTTCGTGCCGGCAGGTGATACTCTCATGACTATCATTGACTGACTGGCGGCAGTAGCTGTCGGGCCGTCGGCTGTCAGTACAATGGGTACGGCAACTTTGAGACTGAAGAAGCTGAACAGACATAAGGGAACTGAGAAAGGGATGGTGCCATCCCAAACTTGAGCTCGTTCCATGTGAGGTGCGACCCCAAAGACCGTGTCATGCTGATACAGTTCACCGTTTCATGTTAAGACGAGCTTTTGTGCGAAAAACGCGTTGCTGGATGGGATTGTTTGGATACGAGTATAATAGTATTAGTAAGTAATCGTATTGGGTACACGATTCGTGCTTGACTGCTTGTGCCACATTTTCAGTTTTACCGCAGTCGCGCCAAATTTTCCTATATGTGAAAAAAGCGAATAAGTAACTCCTGTATATTAACTTGCAATTTCCAATCATTTCTCATCCAAATAGTTAACGTAGGCTCGTAGCTGACACCTGACGGTCGAAAACCTTCGGCTGCATCGCATCTCGACTTCTCAGATGATCCCATACTTTATACCGAATGTCCCAGAATCTGTCGATTATGTTGACAATATCAGTTATGACGGTAACAATCCGTAATATGGGACATCCTTCCGGAATTACCTAGCTGCCCCACCATACCAGATCTATCAAATGCGATCGTCATCAGATTGACCAGAATCTTAGTATGACTCGTAAGCACACTACTCTCTCTGTAAGAATCGCATTTAGCACCGATTTTCTCCGTAGACGCATTCATTTTTCATACTGCAGGTAAAGCAGCTAACAAAACTGTGGACATAAGAAAACAAAGAAGCAACAAGTCTCAACCGAATTTTAACTGATCGATCCTCAAAACGTAATAATACGCTTATTCCTCGTATACGCTGCATGTACTATAATCGTTGCACTGGATGAAAAAAATAACCTAAGTAAACCAAAGCGGGAAAAATCATGGGCACCTAAGAACAAAGTCCAACAAACCAACCAACCAGATTCAGTTTATCAAATCCTCACAAAAATATGATAACGTTATTCCTTACAAGAGTTACCGAGTCCTATAACGAAATCATAACGAACGTCACAAAACCAGCTTAATCAAGAAATGCAGCGCGATACGCGATAACTGTGCGAACTGTACGCCTTCCAACCCATCCACGCACCATTTTTTCCCGCGGAAGTTAGACGACGGTCGCGGATCACCTGTCTGTGTCGCACATAAAACCTGGAAACAAGGAAATAATAGGTGATTAAAGTATTTCACCGCATTCACGAGACATCACAGAGTTTACGTAAATCTTGCGGATAAAGGTGTGTGACACAACGACATTTCGCCAAAGGCAACTAAGCGCAGAGCATTTGGCTGCAGACATTTCGCGGCAACCTCATCTCACCGCGGGACATAGCGCCGCGAGGCCGATTCAATGCCGTGTCATTTCGTCATTGGGATAACTAATTTATTAATCTTAGTAAAACAGTCAAGAAAGCTAAGGAAAACTGAGTAACCTGAAAAATCATAGTGAGTTAGACAAATCGTACTCGTAGTGAAACTGATTACAGTTTACGGAAGAAATTATTGAAAAACATAGAATCACGGAACAACAAGAAAATGTCGAAGGTGTACCTGGCATATAGTATCGACGCCAATTGCGTCGTCATCCATCACCCTCGTCACCCATTCAGACAGCTTGGCATCCTTCAGCACGGCAGACAGCTTGGCCACCTTCCGCGCGTCCGGCACTGGCAAACTCCCATCCAGCGCATTCCACAGCTCCGACTGGAAATCCTCACCCATCACCACCCGTGTCGTCAGCACCGTTGCGCTACGCGATGGCGGCGGTACAAACATATCGAAGCAGTCGAAGCCCATGGTAAATTGGACCGTGCAACGCACCAGTCGTATGCTGCTGCACAGCAGAGCGCGGCACGTTAGGATGAACTCCTTGATGTCATTGGGGGCCCAGCCGTGGCGACGGCATAGAAGGTGTCCAGTCTGTCGATACCGTGGATCCGAATGATGTTGGCTGCACCCGCCGCAAAACTCTGGACGACCAAACCAGAAAAGCCACTGGTGTTCCACGGCAAAGATCGCGGACATTTGGATCCCGGGCAGACGCTCGCCGACATGACGGATCACATCCACCACTTTCAAGAAACAGTCCTCACTCATCTGACCGGTTAGAATAACGTGTTTTGTTGAAGGGCCAAGACAATGGAAGACCGTCGACATCATGCGGTGGAGAAGTTCATAAAAGTTGTCGGACGGGTGCATGTCACCCGTTCCCAGGACGATGTTGGCTGTCAAGATCGGCGAATCCGCAATGCAGTGCCATGCCGGGCACACCGTGCGGAGTCGGTTCTGGTCCCGCGTCGTCAGATAGGAAAACACTTCCAACCACACTTCCGTCGGCAGCACAGCGGCGTCATGCACCGGATTCCCGTCGACCGCTAAATTATCCCGCATCCTATGGCGGAGGAAACGCAGTGAATCCAGTGCTTCGTTAATAATACCCTGCAAAGAATTCCCGAATCACGAATAACTGCTACAAAGACGCGTTGTCATCGCGCGCTCGGCAGTACCTGCAATTTGGAAGAACGGGCCGACGTTGGTTCGGTGATACCCGCTACCGATCGACGTTCAATCAGCCACAAACGTCCATCCGCGATGTCCACACCACACAGCGGCTCCATCCGCCTCAACAGTTCCAAATTGAAGCTTGAGAAGTGGTCCCGGATAACGGAACATTCAGATTTGCTTGGAATGACAACGCTGCATTTTGAGAACGTCCATTTGGTCACGGCCACGGGATGAGTAAGGACGGCATCCTTAAAATTCTGCGCACCATCATCAGCCAGACAGGCTATGAACTACGGAGGAACTGGTCGGCCAACGGCGCCCCACCATCCTCCCGGACCCGGAATCTTCCAGCGGATGCGCTCCACGGGAACAACATCCTGGCGCTCTCTCACGTGGAACCAGTGGACAACCGCCATACCGTACGTCCCGGGGTATTCGTGGCTCACCAGAGCCGTCATTTCAGCCAGGATCCACATCCATGGACCGGAGGGAGTCTCTCGTACAAGCAGTTCTACGGGGATTCGTGCGCTG